CTGGCCTGCCTTGGGGCCTCCTACAGATTAGGAATTGGCACACTACAGGATTCGTTGTTGAAAGATCAGCTGTGTCTTAAGGCTTTCCGGCCTCCCCATACTGTATCCTGCTTCAACTTTAGGTACAATTGCTCCCCTTTTTATATATATATATACACACACCACACACATATTAAACAGATTGTCTCTTCATTGCATCTATTTTCCATGTATTCACCAAGAGACCATTTTATAACACATGTTAAGAAGAGAACCCTTTTGAAGAAGACAACTCCAGACCCTTGTTTCCAGGTGCGGGGTTAGTGGGGCCGCCGTGGTGGCTGCTCAGTTGCTCTGCATGCTCCGTGGTACAGACAGTACCTTCGTTTTGTGTTCACGAGGCCCCTGACTCCTCAGCCACATCGAGTCTCTTAGAACATTGTGGAACCTAAACTGCACTTGTTTCTCTCACCTTCTTCGAATAATGATCATCACTATTTCAGTGAGCAAACTGTGAAAGGGGCTTTGGAAAGATTGGGAGGGGTGGGTTGAACTGGAGGAAGCAGCATCTATTTGGGGGTTACCATGCCTCCTCCCAAGGGGTGGCTCTGCCCCTCAAGTTGGTGGCGTCCCCGCATCTGTTCCTGTGGACTGTCCTTGCCAGGGCTGGTCTGTGCATAGAGAGGCTAGTGGCCGCCAGTGCAGCTACAGCCCCAGATGCAGCCACCGCTTTGACCTCTGGCCATAGACTCCTCAGTGCTGGCTCTGCCAGGGCGCCTTCTCATCAGATGCCAGCAGCTCTGAGCCCCTAAGCAGGAAGTCATGAAAGACCCGCCCTCACCAGCCAGGCTCTCATGGTGACCTTGCAAATTCAGCCGCTGCTTTGAGCCCAAAATGGGAATCTTGGTTTTGTGTCCAAGACTTGTTCCGAGCTTGTCGGTGAAGTTTGCAGAACCTCGAGGCCAGATGCCACCTGCCTGAATGTTGACATGCCAGTGGATGTGAATCCCTTCTCATTTCTCCTCCCCCTTCCCTTCGGACAGTATTACAGTGAACATCTAGCATTCTTTTTTGGTTGATAGTTGAGCAAACTGACATTACAGGAAGTGCCTTAGACACTACAGTACTAAGACAATGTTAAATATATTATTTGCCTCTATAACAATTTAATGTATTAAGTTTTGACTGTGCTTCTTCATATCATGTACCTCTCTAGGCAAAGTGGTATTACAAACATTCAGTGACAATGAATCAGTGTTAATTACAAATCC